AGAGTAGTCACATGCCATGTTTAGAGGCACAGAAAGAAAGGATACATTATTATTTTGGTGCTTTGTTAAATTTTTTCTCATAATTTGATATCACATTATGAGTATAAATTTAACATAGCACCAAAATAATAATGTATCCTTTCTTTCTGTGAAACCAACATTTCTCAGTTGGTGCACAAATTCTCACACCAGATCCAAGTCCTCCTCCTAGCAGACTCCATGCTACTAATCAGTGAAATGTCTCCATCTAGCGGCGACACTGTGTCATTGCAGAAGCATTTTAATGTGAACCGCAAATTAAAAGCTTCAGCCTCATGTATCATCCATGGGAGCTTTTAAAAACAGTCTTCTTAATATGTACTAGGGCCTTGCAGCTGTTTTCTTTTAAACTTCTGACGAATAAAAGGTAGTTTTGTTCTTTAACATTTTAACCTGAACAAAGTCTCTTTTAAACCTTGAACCTTTTAAACAATTAAAACATTTATAATATGCACATAACAGCAAGTCCTAAAAATGTATTACTCTTATACCACAGTAATTTGTCAATGATTATAATTTTTATTTTAATTTTTATCCTTTTATAGTTATTTCTAGTGTTGTGGAACATCCATGAAACAAGTTAGTTCCTGATATCATTTACAGTATAGCAGCTATAAACAGTCGTTGCCTCACCAGCCTCTTTTATTTCTCTTTCTTGAAGGTAATACAAAAAAAAAAAAAAAAAAAACACAGCTTGTCATGTTACTGAGAAATCGCAAAGTCCTGAAGACTTTCCTGTGGCGAACAACTAACTGAAGCCAACTGACAAAGCACTGACACTGGACACTCCTTCCATAAATGTTAAATAAATGTCTCCTTGCAAAATATATATATATATATATATATATATATATATATATATATATATAAAAAGTCACCAGACTATAATCATGACTATAACATTTTTTTTTTAAATATACAGCTCTCTCTCTCTGAATGAGCTGTTACCATAACAATCAAACGATCATATTTTAGAAGAGTGCATTAATATAAACCTGTGATTTGTCTTACAGCTGGAACTACAGTCAGAGCTACTGTTATTGAAAATGAATCATCATCTTCTGACCAATCAGAATCAAGAATGCAACAGGGTTGTGGTATAATCTTTTACATTCATTCATTCAGTAAGTCTCCTGGCAGTGACTCCAGATTGTTCCTCCTCCAGTGAAAAGCTGTGAGTATCTCTGCTTTACAGTAATAGCTTTACAGGAAATGTGAGAGCAGAAGGCTGGGGGCAGAAGGCACTTCCTCCTCGATTGCTCTGAGCGCTCAACAAGGTAAGAAACAATGCTAAATACAATTGCATAGAAACTAGAGTTTGTGCAGTTGTGTAGGTTACTGTAAGTAAAGATGCATTAGATGATATTATACATATATTATACGTTATGATGCATTAGATGATATTATACATGTTATGATGCATTAGATGATATTATACATGTCATGATGCATTAGATGATATTATACATGTTATAATGAATTAGATGATATTATACATGTCATGATGCATTAGATGATACTATATATGTCATAATGCATTAGATGATGTTATACATGTCATGATGCATTAGATGATATTATACATGTCATGATGCATTAGATGATATTATACATATATTATACATGTTATGACTCATTAGATGATATTATACATGTCATGATGCATTAGATGATACTATATATGTCATAATGCATTAGATGATATTATACATGTCATGATGCATTAGATGATATTATACATGTCATAATGCATTAGATGATATTATACATGTCATAATGCATTAGATGATATTATACATGTCATAATGCATTAGATGATGTTATACATGTCATAATGCATTAGATGATGTTATACATGTTATAATGCATTAGATGATATTATACATGTCATGATGCATTAGATGATATTATACATGTCATAATGCATTAGATGATATTATACATGTCATGATGCATTTGATGATATTATACATGTTATAATGCATTAGATGATAGTATACATGTCATGATGCATTAGATGATATTATACATGTTATAATGCATTAGATGATATTATATATGTCATGATGCATTAAATGATATTATACATGTTATAATGCATTTGTTATACATGTCATGATGCATTAGATGATATTATACATGTCATGATGCGTTAAATGATATTATACATGTTATAATGCATTAGATGATGTTATACATGTCATAATGCATTAGATGATAGTATACATGTCATGATGCATTTGATGATATTATACATGTTATAATGCATTAGATGATAGTATACATGTCATAATGCATTAGATGATATTATACATGTCATGATGTATTAGATGATATTATACATGTCATAATGCATTAGATGATATTATATATGTCATGATGCATTAAATGATATTATACATGTTATAATGCATTAGATGATGTTATACATGTCATGATGCATTAGATGATATTATATATGTCATGATGCATTAGATGATATTATACATGTCATAATGCATTAGATGATATTATACATGTTATAATGCATTAGATGATGTTATACATGTCATAATGCATTAGATGATGTTATACATGTTATGATGCATTAGATGATATTATACATGTCATAATGCATTAGATGATGTTATACATGTCATGATGCATTAGATGATATTATATATGTCATAATGCATTAGATGATGTTATACATGTTATGATGCATTAGATGATATTATACATGTTACAATAGTGCGCTCTGATCCTTAGCCATGCGCAAAGTGTGCATGCGGACAAACAGTGTATGATACTAATTAATAAATAAGAAAACCTGAAGAAACCTGAAGCACAAGTTACAAAAGATAAACACAGTGTTAACACAGATCAGGCACAGAGTTGGCAGCACCTGGTGCTATATAGGATACAGTAATATGCATTAAATCCTGCTGGATGATATGATAGTACCGGTGTTCTCACTATTTAACAAAATGTCCTACCATAACACGCATTTATAGATCTTCATAACACAACACTAAAAGTATTGTGTGTTACTTTGTCTACTTGAAAAATGCATCCAGCATATAAAAATATATTAAGCATGCATATGTATAATGGCTGTGCATAAATGAAGTATGTGCATGTGCAGAAACTCTTGCTAGGACCTCTTGGAAAAATATTGTGCTGTGACCATAGAGAAAAGGACAAATATTCATCAAATGCTAGATTATAAATTGATCAATTACACTAGTTAATCTAATTAAAACTAAGTAGCCACAGGTTTACTGGAGGCCAACTGAATATCCCACTACTGTAATATACTGTATATATATATATATATATATATATATATATATATATATATATATATATATATATATATATTACAGACTCCAGTATTGTAGGTGGCGATATTCACCTTTTACGTTGGTCTATAACTCACCAGAAAATCTTAAGAAACTATCCTGTAAACATCTTAATCTGTAATAATTCATGGAACACAAAGTTTTAAACAGTTCATTTCTTGTATTTAAAGCTTACATATACTGTGCTGACAATTAAATATTAGCACAAGATGTGCTGTTTTTCCAGGTAATTATAAATTTTGTATACATATTTATACAGCAACTTCAATTTCATCAATTCAGAAACTATATATACAGTATAGACAGATTCATATAGAACATTAATACTATTTAAAAAGAATTTCAGACTACAGTTGACAGAATGGAAGGTTTTAATTAACATCACTTGCAGGAACACCATATACAGTGTATTATCCATCCTAAGCTGCCATGAAAAAAAATCTATCCATCAATCAAACTTTGTAGTGAAAAAATGCACCTTTAGGATTCTTAAAAATACCACATTGAATATCACATCCCATATAGACCTGAATAGGAACCCAAATGGATCCCATTAAAAAATCCTGTAGAAGTGATCCTATAGGATATCTATGTCTTGTCCTATAAGACAATTCCTCGGAATCTTATAGGAATGTTTCCAAAATATGATCAAAATTCTAATTAGAATCCTGCACAAGTTTCTTATTGGAATCTTTCAGGATTTTATGACAAGAGCTCAATAAAAAGCACTAAACTTGCAGTTTCTTTTTTTAATGTAACTCTGCTGATTTTATTGTGCATTTTTGTAGAATGGTACTCATTATCACCTAAATATAATGCACATTGTAGCCTATATTACAAAACATTTTACAAAAACTTTTTCACAAGTAGTTCATTCATGATATATTTCCATGCAGTATGATAATCATGTAAAAGAGCTTTGATGTTACTCTTAGGAATATTTTGAATTAGTGTTCTTGGTTCCTTGTAGTAAATCTGGAACCTGTTGTTTACTCCAGAAACTGAACCGCTACCCTGTAATAACTCCACACTTATCCACAGAGCAAGAAATTACAGCCACCACCCTTTTCCCAACCCTCAATGAGAGACTGTAGGGAGTTACACTGAGTGACTTTATAAAGAACTTTGAAAAGCTCTTCATTTATTAAAATTTATTTTAAAAAAAACACAAACATACACACACTTAAACATTTTATACAAGGCAAACTGTAGCAATTGTTGCAAAGGATGAAAGCTATGTGCTAAGCACTGTACCAGTTAGATTAGGAGAAAAGATGCATTTCCACCACTTTTTCAGGACCTCAGGAACTTTTTTTTCCTTCAAATTCAGACACTTTAATCATATTACCACCATAAAAAAACTGGAGGATTTCCAGCACTCTTTTTAGGTATATTTCTGTTGACCAGGAACTACTGGGGTGGAGCTTGCCATCCTGTTGTTACTCCTCTTTCAGCTGCTCCCATTAGGGGTCGTCACAGCAGATTATTGGTCTGCGTATTTGATTTGGCACAGTTTTTACGCCAGATGCCCTTCCTGACGCAACACTCCCCAATTTTATCCGGGCTTGGGACTGGCACTGAGAGCACACTGCTGCACACAACCCCAGTGGCTGGGGTTGGAGCCCTGGCCAGGAATCGAACCCAGGCCACTGTGGTGAGAGCACTATGGCCTAACAACTAGTCCTCCAGGGACCCTTGGAGCTTGCCATCCTAAATGTTGGTTATTTTCCAAATGTGACCCTGCCATTTAACAAACACTTGTATTGCTAACAATAGCTGCAGCTTGTGGCATGGAAAGAGGAATGTTACAGGAATCTTTTCAAAAGATAAGGAACTTTTTAAGAACTTTATGCATGTTTCCACCAGAAGTACTGGCTTGCAGCGAGCTTTGTCCAAATATAGCTACTGCTCTGCTGCTTGCCTTGTGCTGTTGGTTCAAAAAGCGAAATAAATTTAACCACCTATTCACACAAAAAACAAAACAAGCAAGAAGAGCATGGCTCTTAGTAGTCTTAACTTCTGTGTTTGTGTTGCGGTGTTGCTGTGCTGCTGGCCTTCTGTGCTGTGTTAAAATTACGTAACCATCACACAGCCTGTGTTTTATTTTTATTTTATGATCCCAAACCAGGAAGTCATTCAGAAACTGTGGAGTCGTTGTTGAAGAACTCTGGAACTCTTGTTCTGGGTCTCTTTAGTTCTTTACAAGGCTCTGGAAGTGAAATGTGAATGATTTGTAAGGAATAAAACACATCAAGGCATGATCTAATAGGAACATAATCCCCTTATATGGACTTATAAGACAGATGTTGATTTGATATTTTCTGTGAGGAGAGTTTTATTTAGAGTTTTTGGAAGGAGTCTCCAGTGTCAGCGCTTTGTAACAATCAGAGGTAAGTGCAATCAGTGTGATTTGTGATTTCTCGTTAAAATGACAAGCTGCATTTTTTTGTCTTATTAATTTCAAGAGAGAGAGAAATGAGAGGCTGGTAAAAGAAAGAATGTTTATAGCTGATATAACGTAAGTGATAACAGGAACTAACTTGTTTTGTGGATATTCCACAACATTCAACGTAACTATAAATGGATACAAAGTATGATGTCATTCTTTAATAATAAAAAAAATTTTTAGTATTGCCAAATTGCTGTGTGGACACATTAATAAAATACTACATTTCACCACCACATCATTGATTATTTTCCTATAACAGCATGCCCCTGAATGTTTTATTCCTTATATACACCAGGAGAATCAAATATCAAGAAAGCTGAGTTACAGTTGAACCTCCATCTACATTTGCATTCTACCTATGAGCCCAGGAGAGTAGACATAAATTTGGGCCACATCCTTAATCAAGTTTTTCTGGGTTTTCTAATTCACCCATTTTTACATGGACAAAATACAGGACCCAAATGCATTAAACATATCATATAGCTGCTTAACTGCTACTCTTTCTACTCTCATACACTATGCTTGGCTCCCTTTGGTGTGGCCAGATCTTTTTTTAATCCTTTTTTTGATCCTGTATTTAAAGCAAAAAAAAAAGAGCAGTAGCATGTCATTAGCAGTGCGTGCTAACGTGTAGGTCAGGAAAGCAAAACACAGCCCTGGGTTGACGTTTCTGTAAATAGCAGGCAGGGCAGAGCAATCGCAGGCAGACAACCCATCCATTACCATCTGTGTGCATGTGGAAGACATTTTCCCCTGCCAGCTTTCCACCACACATGTCCCCATCAGGGCAGAAGGGTGGAGGCTGGGGAAGCATGCCACTCCGAGTTTGAGAGAGCGAGAAGGATAAGGCTGGAGGAGGAGGACACACACACACACAGAGACACACACACACTCACACGCAGGGACATAAGCTACAGCTGGGATTGCGTGTGACTCCAGGACAGATCTGTGGTATTCAGCATTCAAATGTCGTCGTCTGGATGGTACAGTAAAATTTATCTTTTTTTGGCTGAATGTTTAAAATATCGGTAAGTGTGTGTATATTATGTATAGCATTTCAATCAATAAATCTTGTAAATGTATCCGAGCTCTGTAAGGAATGTGATTATCCATGCAACAAGTCTTTCTCAAAAGGAGTGACAGTTAGGGGAAATTATTACCCTCATGTATTGTATTCCTCCATCACTCTACACTCATCCTTCCTTCAGCATATCCATTGTTTTTCCAGTGTTTGTCTGCTGCTGGCTACTGAGATGCATTTTGGAAAAGTGATGGGCTCTGATCCCTTAATGGAGCTTTTAAGTGGCGCTCTGTGGCAAAAACCCATTTCTGATACACTCTCGTGTTTTTAGCTGAGGAGAAGTCTCATTAATTACATCTGATATTGATATCTAGACAGGAAGGGATTGTTGGATAAGTCTGTTTAAAAAAAACTTGTCATATTTCAGAGGTTATGACAATTGTAGCTGTTATATTTATAATAAGAGACCATAAATGATAGTCACTTTATGTTCACTCGACCTGCTCATCTCAGTGTGCCTTTGAATCCAACATAGAACAAGTGCCATATACGTGCATTAACTAGCAGTCGAATTGTAAAAAAAAAAAAAAAAAAAAACAGGATTTGGTGGGTATTGGGGGTATAGTTTTATTTAAATATTTATTTTTAGGTCAAGACAATGCCATTTCCTTTATTTGAAAATACACCACAACCCATTTCAAAGCTAAAATTAATCTTTGTCAAAAATCTTGCTAATCATTTGTTTGCTAGTTAGTCAGCTAGCTAGCCTAATTAATGTGACAGAGCATAATTGAATAATCAAACAATTTCTGAGATTATAAACGCTCACTTCACAGTTTTATTAACTGTGGACAGCTTTGATCTGTTTTTTTTAAGTCTTGTACTGGTCTTGTAGTGTTCACTGTGCCTTTGTCTGAATTTTAGTGATAACAGACATCTGAAGTAATATCACAAGCAAACTTAATCCAGTAGTGATGGATATAGAGAATGAGGCTTTTACAAGGATAATCTCACCTGGACACTGTAGATTTGTACTTCAGAGCTGCTGCTGTAATCATAAAGACTGTCCTGTGCTCATCATAATCTGCTCATACTGAACCTCTTTTCAACACACTTTGTACTGTTTGTCTTTAATCTTCTGCACCTGTATACTGTAATGATTGATAATCCAGCCTGAAGAGCTTGACAGGCTCCATTTTGAGTCTGGTTCCTCTCAAGGTTTCTTCCTCATGTCGTCTCAGGGAGTTTGTCCTTGTCCCTGTTTTGCTCGTTAGGGATATACATCGAGAATTTGAATTCTGTAAAGCTGATTTGTGACAGTGCAAGGTATTTCCTTGTATCCTCCCACAAATCAAACCCTGGAAGGAACCATTACTGTGTGATACAAAGGGTATGTAGAAGACTTTAATTTTGCTGGTAAGTAGGAATGGACCGATCCTATTTTTCCTGTTTCCGATATAATACTGAGATCAGAGCTTTGAGTCTGAGCCGATATCTGAAACTGATCTGATAATGACATCTTTTTTAGTTACATAGTAAGTCTATGTAAGGTTCCCATAAAAAAAAATCTGTGTTGCATCAGCCAAAATCACTCATGTCTATAGGATAAAACGGATCAGTGGATTAGATTGGAAAATTTGTCAAATCAGATCCAATAACGATCCAGTGTTTCAGGCCGGTATCATCTGTTATATCCCTAACCTCAGAGAAAAAGGTTTCAGTCAGCACTCTAAAACAATTAAAAGATCTACAAAGACTGCTATAACAATTCTCTTATTTAGAGAGGCTTTTGCTAGCAGAAGCATTAACTATCCAAAGAACCCTGGAAGGACAGTTTTTTCTAACCATGTACTTGTAAGATTTGGATGGATACGCGATGGATACATGGATGGAGTCACTTATAGTTTAAAGGCTGATTTCAAAATAGCGTAACTAAATATGAGTTTAGAAAGGAACACTGTTAAACTGGGAAAGGGTGTTGAGCCAGTCTAGCTTCTTATTGTGTGGTAAACCAAAAGGATTATAGGTTTCTTCAGATAGTGTTGGTTTGCTCAACAGAGAACCGCTCTGTTGTACATAAAACCTTTAAGGCTTGCCCCACAAGCTGAAGAAGGGTTCTTGGATTAAGAACCCACTGATTATAGCTCAGAAACCTCATTTTTTGTCAAACTGGGTCACAGAAACTAATTTGGAATTAGTACAACTGTTTTCAGATGATTTACTAATAGCTACCATTGAGTTACATTTATTTTCACAAGCTTCAATCCTGTCTATTTGAGGTTTCACCTTTCAAGAGAGTTCCACACTGCGTGATCGGGTTCAGTATGGGTTTCATTGAACCAGGCCCTGCGGTTACACTCTTGTATTCTTCAATGTCAGAGTAGAACTACTCTGATCCGAGTTCGCCTTCTGTCCTGGTAGACTTGTGGTATTTTCTCTGATACTCTGAGCTATGCCTGCAGCACAACATTACCCACATGTTCCTCAGTTACTTGTAAAGTAAAATAAGGTAAGCCTATGGTGAAAAAAAGGCTACATAACTTATTATATTATAGATTTATAATATATTGATTTGCAGAATGTGTTAAACATGATACAGTATATTACTTAAACTAGCTAATAGTTTAAATTGTATCCAGTTAAGAACTTCCTCATTGTTCAATCAATTTGTTGCAGCTACTCTGAATTGTTGTGCCAAAGAGATTAGACATCAGATAGCCTGAAACGTTACTCATGGCACAGTTTGTTTTATATGAGAAGTAAAATCCTTAAACCGAGATTGCTTTGCAAGTATCTGATAAAACAACCAAAAACATGGCAGGATGACAACAGCTATTCAAGCTTCTCTTTTTTTTTCTTTTTTTTTCATTCAGAGCCCAAGAAAACACAATGAATACCTTTGATTCATGGATGCAGATTAAACCTAGTAATAGACCACAAAAAGAAAGTCAGTCAGAGTCTCCACTGGTAGTCTGGGCTTAGGGTTAATGTGTCCAGGCTCTGCATCCACAAAGCATTTTAAAACAGAAGCACTCATCTGGGATCAGATTTCCTTTAGATCTTCAGGAGTGTGTGGTAAAATGCAGAACAGTTCCAGAAAGTGGAACTGTCCAGTTTTTTATTATAGTCCCTAGAAAACAGTTATATAATTAGTATGTTGAGACTGAGACTTGCTACTAAGCACAAATCAGTATGTCCATTCATGTATTCAGGTGGGAGAGG